CAAAACCACGGAAGTCAATCCAGGGTAACTTGAAAAGGTAAGCACACCGGTAAGCTCCTCCCAAACAACCGGCTGCACAGATCCCAAAACCTAACGCCGCCCTTCCGCATCGCTGCCTTGGGTGTCCCTTGCCATCCAAATCCCAGCTACGGGAATGGCCACAACAGCTACCCATTAAAAAACAAAACCCCACACCCTAAAAGTGAGACAAATTAGAAGTAGTGAATTTTCACAGCAAGTCCAACTTTCACATGCAGGGTTTGTCTCTCTGTCTAGTTCTGGTCGGCAATTAGCCTCTGGCAAGGACCTAAATTCCAAACTGAGCAGGGGCTGCAGGTGGAGTGGGGGCATTTGCTTTGCCCTGGGGATGCAAAATTTGGGCAAAGGGCTCCTTTGAACCTCTCCTTCTCCAGAGTTGTTCAAGAAGAGTTCCCCCCAACAAACCTCAATTGCTCGTTCCCGTTTGCCTTCATGGTGCCCGTGAAGAAGAAGAGATTGGATTTATACCCCGCCCTTCACTTGGAGTCTCAGAGCGGCTTACAAACTCCTTCCCCTCCCCACGAAAGACACCCTGTGAGGTAGGTGGGGCTGGGAGAGCGCCGACAGAAACTGCTCTTTCTCAAGGACAGCTGTGCCAGAGCTTGTGACTGACCCAAGGTCATCCAGCAGGTGCAAGTGGAGGAGTGGGGAATCAAACCCGGTTCTCCCAGATTAGAGTCCGCGCACTTAACCACTACACCAAAGTGGCTCTCGTGGGCACCCACCAACACCTTTCCCGGCGCTGGCCAAACGTCTTCAGAAAGTGGGTGGGGATTCTGATTGGCCACTGCAGATTTTTTTAAAAAATGTTGCTTTGGCAGCAGCTGCCGTCACAGCAGCAGGATCTTCCCTGTGTGACTGAAGGAAAGTCACGGCACCCATTTCATGGCTGCACCCACAACACCGTGCAGTGGTGCCCACGGGCTCAAAAAGGTTGGTGACTCCTGCACTAGTGAGAAAGTAACGTGCTTCGGCCTCCGTTGTGGCCCACGCTGGGCAGCTGATGTGCATAACGGGGTGGATGGGAGAGAAACACGTCTTGGGATCAGAGATGGAAAGGAACGGGGCTAGACTTCAGGGCCTCAAATGGCCAATCTCTACCCTAAAGTCACCCCAAAGGTTTTCATTTCACACTGAGCTGTAGAATCAAAGATCCTGCTCAGGAGAGGCGATTTCTGCTCCCGACAAAGGCCGGAACCCTCTGGGGGTGCAGTTGAAATGCAACGACCACTTTATATTTTATTCTACCTGAACCTCTCTTTTCTCCCTGTCATCCTCACTCCTGCTCCGCGAAGGCAGCCTCCCCCGCTCCCACTTCACGGGACGGAGGACTGAGCCCGAGAGCTCGTGAAATGCCCGTCTCCCGACACTTAGGGGCATATCGAGGGGAAACAGAAAGGGCTGCAAGTTGTCGGCTGTGGGTCTCTTTGACTTCCGGACCAGGGCAGCTCAACAGTCAGTAAGCGATGCCAAAGAGGGATCCAGTCCCACATTTGAACGAAGGGCCGGCAGCCGGCAGTCCAGGGGCTGACCCCGCTAGCTCAGCTTAGAGGGAACACTGCCGGTAAGGTGCTACTGGACTCGAACCTGGCTCTTCCTTTCCAATCCCTGAAAATGGATGGGAGGTGAGAACATGCCGCCAAGATGTCGACGGTTTACCAACGGCTCCTCTACAGCCTGACATACGAAGCTGTCTTCTACTGAGTCAGACCCTTGACCTGAGAAGTCCAGTCTCGCCTACTCTGACTGGCAGCGGCTCTATGGCTTTTTCACATCATCTGATCCTTTCCGGAGCAGGTATCAGGGGCCTGGGCCTGGGACCTTCGACAGCCAAAGTGGATGCTCCGCCCACTGAGGTGCAGGCTGCAGGCAGGTTGCCAGGTCCTGGCAGGGGACGGGGGAGTAGGGTTGCCAGACCCAGGTTGGGAAACTCCTGGAGATTTGGAGGCGGCGGCTGGGGAGGACAGGGACCCTCAGTGGGATACAAGGCCACAGAGTCCACCCTCCAAAGCAGCCATTTTCTCCAGGGGACCTGATCTCTGTACTCTGAAGATCATTTGTAAGAGCGGGAGATCTCCAGGCCTCACCTGGAGGTTGGCAAGCCTAGGCCCTAACTTTCCGAACTCTTAGTTAATTCCTCCCTCCAGAGACTCTTGGATGCAGGCTGAAAGGCTCCAGCTCTCTCCCGGAGGCCCAATAACTACGGTTGCCAGGTGTGGGTTGGAAAATACCTGGAGACTTTGGGGGTGGATCCTGGAGAGGGCGGGGTCTGGGGAGGGGAGGGGCCTCCGCATGGTACAAGGCCAGAGAGTCCACCCTCCAAAGCATCCCTTTCCTCCAGGGGAGCTGGTCTCTGTAGTTTGGAGATGAGCTGTAATTCCAGGGGGTCCCCAGGTCCCACCTGGAGGCCGGCACCCCTAGAACTTGCAGCCACACCTCCACCTCACGTGTCACTGGCAGGCGCAAAAGAAGTCCCTAAGAATGCGCAACCGAGGAAGCACACCAGCCTAGGGGAAAAGGAAGGGCCAAGCCAGCTCACGGAACGCCCTTCTCGCTTGCTGCTTTGAACGAGAAATGCAGTGCCCAGCCAGGCTCGGCACGAAGCCTGCAGCTCACGTTTTGTGTATTTCCTCTTTATTTTTACTAGAAAGAGCCAGGAGGGGGGTGGGGAGGGGGGTGGGAGTGATGGCCTCAATTGCTTATGGTTTGCAGGGTACAAAGCGGGGGGGGGGAAAGAATCACTCCCACCTCCTAGGGTACAAAGGGGGGAAAAAGAATCACTCCCACCTCCTGGATAAAGTAGCTAAAGCACCAACCCAGCTCTCTGTCTCTCTTTGGACCGTTCTCTTTCAACGGCTGCTGGCATTAAAGGGGGGGGGGGAAGGGTGTGTTGGACGGGGAAAAGCGCCACACCCGGCTTCTTGCAAAGGTGGTCTGGAGGCAGGAACGGTCATCCAGTTCATTCCTTGGGGCCAGGAGGGACCACCGGATCCCTCTGCTAAGCAGCTTCCTGGGGGGAGCGGCCGGGCTCCTTTGGCCAGAGAATTATGGGGGGGCGCGGGCTGAATCTCTGCCCCCACTTCCACACCTGCTGCGGCTCAAGTCCTGAGCGCAACGGGAAGAAGCCGCCTCCTCCCACCCTTACGCTTTAGAGGGCTTGTTTGGCAAACAGGAAGATTTCCAAGACCCACCGGCAACAGTGCTGAGACGCGGCGGCAGAGCTGACCGGCAGGCCTTGCCTCGTGCAGAATTTGGCAACGCAGGCCCCCCTTCCTTGCCACGACAGGCCCCGAGCCTTCGAAAGCTCGTTCTGAGAGATGGCTGAACAGGGGAGGGGGTACACTTGACCCCCTGCGCAAGAGGCTCCAGCAGGCTCCTGTGCGCTTCCAGCTCATTTCAAGGAGACATCTGGCCTGGTCCTTGCTTTCCCGCAATAGCCAAACAGATACCCCTGGAGGGCCCACGAGCAGAGATTGGGGGGGGGCAAAGGTGCTTCCTGTAGCCCCCCCCGAAACTGGCATTCAGAGGAACACTGCTCCGTGTCCCCCGCTGATCTGTCTAATCCCCTTGTGGCCATCGCTGCTGTCCTTGTAGCAATGAGTCCCACAGGCTAATCACATATTCCGTGAAGGGGGTTTTCTTTTGTCCTGTCTGGTGGATTGAGCCCCTGGCTAATTAGAGAAAGAACAGGGTAGAAGGCCTTTGGATTTTCCACCCTCGTTTCGTCTCTGCCCAGAGTTCCTAGCTGTGGTTTTTGTCTCTTCTGCTCCCTGCCTTGACTTCCGACTGCCTCCCTCACCCCCTGACACCGCGGCTGAAGTTTTCACACAGTGATGGTCACGCGCTCCCTTCCGTTTTTATGCACATCGCTTTGCCTTCTCCCCCCCCCCTTTAAGTTTCCTCTTAAAAACCCAGTGGCAATTCAGACATGCAGCAAAATAAAATTAAACAATGGCATCTAGAGATTTCTATTTACAAGACAGATATACTACATATTTACTGTTACAGATAGTACCATCATCATTAAAATATATGTCCCCCACCCACAGAGTGAGGAGGGGAGGGGAGGGGCACAGAAATCTTGGCAATTCTGGATTCCCGAGCCGAGAGCAGAGACTGAAATGTTGGTGGTGGTGACCCGGAGATCCCGGTGGATCCGGGGGGGGGGGGAGCACAGGGCTACTCCGGCTCGGCTCTTTCCTTCTCCGTCCCGGCAGTTGGGGGCATTCGATTAAATATCCCTGTAAACACACACATGCTCTGTGGGGGATGACGACGGGACGTAATGTCTCCTGGCCTCCCATTTCCCCGGGGCTCTCGGTGTGGAAATGCCGTTTGAGATGGTGCTCCTTGGGGACACACGGAGGAAACGTCCTTGATAGCGACCGCTTCCATTTCCTGCACGGACGCTTGTGCAAGCAGCTCACGGGGGCGCGATGCAAGGTATCTCGGTGGGACTCCTCTCTCCTCATCCCTCCGCACGTGGAAACGGAGGCAAAGGCTCTCCTTCTTTCCGGCACACGCAGCGCAAGTCAAACTTCAAATCTGGCAAAGCAGGAACACGGCGGTACTGATTCCCCCCCCCTTTCCACGACACTCTCTCTCTGCGCTGAAAGCTGATCTACGGCACCGAGCACTGGGCAGCGCCGGGAGGAGAGCGGAAGGACCTGGCGGCTCACTCCCGCAGCCTGACTGGGAGGACGGCGCGCGCCAACGATCACGGCCTCCCTGCCAAGACTCCCCGACTGCTGGGGCTGGCCTGGGAGGGGAGGGGGGGCGTGGCACAGAGTCAGGTCCATGTCTTACAGCTGCTGCCTACGCCTGCGCCCAGCGATCCTTTATGCCCAAGGCCTCCGCCCGCCCCCGCTTAGGTCTTCTCCTCCCGGTCTGTCTTTCGCCTCGTTATGTTACGAGGTTTGATTTTGAGCGAGAGTTCCCACAGGGCCTCCTCGGCCAGATGGTCGCTGAAGTCGTTGAAGAACGAGATGATGTCGTCGTTCCGCTTGATCTCGTAATGCCTGCAGAGAAAGAAGGCAGTCTCTCATATAGGGGTTTATACAAATTATGCATGGGGTGGGGAGGGTTGACAGTTTCTCCCTCTCCCGAGATACTAGAACTCAAGGGCATCCCACAGCAAACTTTGTGTTAAGAAAAGTTAAATCCTACAAGCTAGGCAAATTAAGCATTTGGTATATTTCATTCCAGAATTTTCATGGTTTGGCATAACTTATCCTGGCCTTGCTTCGCCAGAAGGAACAGCAGCAAGGAGTGTGCCGGGGACTGAAGGCTGGCCTCTTGGACTGCAGCCAGAGATTGTACTGGTATATCCCACTGTCTTAACATCCGAACTGTGTTAGTTCGAGCCCTGTGCTGGTGTGAGCAGCCAGCCTGTTGTCCCCAGCTCATCGTCAACCCAGCGATTCGAAAGCTTCGGCGAGTAAATAAAATGGGAACCACTCCTTAGAGAGGGTGGGCACACCAATCTCCCTTGTGGGAGGGTGTTAGCTGATGGTCGGGACGTCCTGGTTGAGGTTCGGAAAAGGCGGAAGAACTTCTCGGTTACAAAAATCCCTGCAGTGGATGTTTCCGGCCAGGCAGTGGCAGTGTGGCGATTTGACATACAGGTCCTGAAGCCTGGTCGACAAGCAGCCATTCGGAAAATGACTGAGCCAAGCCAGAAGACGTTTACGCCGTGCAGTGACAGCGTGTGCAATTAAATGAATATATGTTGTCCTCCCTATCCCCTATGAACATTGTTAGTCCCCTGTCTAAAATGTGTAACTGTACATCGCTTTGAGCCCACTGGGGAAAGCGATTAATAAATTAAAAGCATCATCATCATCATCATCATCATCATCATCATCATCATCATTACTGAGCAGTCCCTGGGGATTCTGAGACACCAGCAGACACTGCCCACCCGCCTCCCAGCATCTTACTGCCGCATAGTCACAAGGGCTCTTTTTGAAATGAGAGCCACACAGCAGAGAAGAAGAAGAGATTGGATTTATACCCCACCCTTCACTACTTGAAGGAGTCTCAGAGCGACTTACAAACTCCTTTCCCTTCCCCTCCCCACAACAGACACCC